GCTACGAGACCGTCGCATCGACGACGCGCGCTGGTCTTGGACAGAGCCTGTGTATCAGCATGGGCGGAGATGTATTGGCGGGAACCAATTTCGTCGATGCGTTGAAGGTCTTTGAGGAGGACCCTGACACAGAAGGTATCATCTTGGTAGGGGAGATTGGTGGAACTGCGGAAATTGATGCAGCAGAGTGGATTCGAGACTACAACAAGAGGACCGCCACCCCAAAGTACGTACGGTCTGAACATATCCTTTGGCACAGGTGAGAACTGACGCTACTTAGACCTATCATGGCTCTTGTCGGCGGTCGAAAGGCCCCTCCTGGTCGGATCATGGGCCATGCTGGCGCTTGGATAGCTCCTGGAGAGCCAGATGCTGAGGCCAAGCACAAAGCTCTCGAGGGCGCTGGAGTGACAATGGTCGATCACCCAGAAAAGTTTGGTCAGGGAATGAAGGCGCTTCTAGCTCAGAGAACCATGACGAATGCTACGGTAAGTTTGTCTGATAGCGCAGTCCGTGGCGAGACTAAACGAATCCCAGCCTATCAGCTTTAGCGGCCAAAAAAGAGGCCTACATACGATGCGACGTCTCTCGCATGGTAGGAGTCGTGTATCACCATGGTCGATACAAAAGCGATCTCTCTATGTCAAGGAATTTCAGGCATTGGAGATGCTGAAGCGGAAATCTATCGCAGTGAACGAGACCGCTCCTTCAAATTCGGATGTCTTGCTCACAATGACAGTGGACAGAACAGCACTGTCGCCCTGTATCGTTGCTTCAACAAGACCTGATCCTGCTCAAGCGTCTTCCGCTAGATTCCCATTCCCTTATACAACGCAGGAGTTCAGCAGTACCAGCCCAGTCCTCGAAGCTGTTGCCTCCCACCTCCATCTTCCAGAGACAGCACACGGAAAGTTGGCAGAGCTGACACAGGCTCTTTGGGAGATCTTCAAGGAGAAAGAAGCCTATCTGCTGGAAGTCCGGGCCAATTTCAGACATGGCGAGATGCAAGTTCGAGGTGCACGTTTCGGGTTTGACGATGCGGCGTTCCGGAGCTMGGGACGTCAAGAAGATGTACACCGACTCAGAAACAAGGAAGAAGAGGTTGCTGAAGAGGTTGAAGCGGAAAAGGACGGAATCGTCTATGTCAAGTATGTCTCTGCTTGGAAGACAACAGTCTACATCGTGAGTAATGTGCTAAGGAGCGCTATATAGGCTGCAAGGGGAGGGAAGCATCGGGACACTAGGTGAGCTTGCCCATGCTACAGAGTACAGTCAGAGCTGACCAGATAGTCAATGGCGCGGGCCTAGCGATGAACACCGTTGATGCCCTGTCCATCCATGGCGGTCACTGCGCCAACTTCCTTGACACAGGGGGCAAAGCAACTTCCGAAACGGTCAAATCGTCCTTCCGGATCATTCGGTCTGATTCACGGGTCAAGGCCATTTTCGTCAATATCTTCGGCGGCCTAACACGGTGTGACATGATCGCCGAGGGGATCATCATGGCCTTTCGAGACTTGGAAATGAATGTCCCGGTGGTAGTTCGACTGCGGGGGACGAATGAGGAGATCGGACAGAATATGGTCAGTCTAATTTCTGACTATGGTATACTTGACTAAGCTGACTGAATATAGATTGCTGAGAGTGGGCTTCCCCTGCATGCCTTTGACAGTTTCGAGGATGCGGCCACAAAGGCGATCAGCCTGGCCAGGAGTACATAGATAGCCGGTCATTGGACCCAAAGTGTACAGTCGTTTCGTCGTAGATCTAAGAATAGTAAACTGACAGGAGACGAGAAATCAGTCGTCTGGATTCCATGACATGGCATCGTATGCTCTGATCCACCGTGGCTGGAGTCAAGGCGAAGCCACGCAAGCTCCGATGATCGGTTTGTCAGAGATTACTGGGATTGACAAGACATCCAGGGAAAATGCAGAAGAGCATAATGAGAATAATGTTAGTATTTTCTAGATTGTATAGGTAGAAGTAAAGCATGAAGAATTCGAGTATCAAAAACAATTGACAGTGTAGAAGTCCAATAAGAATCCTTAAAAATGGCATCATCTCTTCTTCCTCCGATGCTCCATAGCAGTGATTCCTCACCGGATTCACCCCGCGATCAGCGCCCCGCTCTTATACCCATTTTCTGCATACTTCAATCCTTCATCTTTCTCTCTCTCACACAACTACTCCTCTTATCCTAATTCCCAAAAACACAATCACAATGGCCACGTACGAACCCCCTCATCCCTCCTTCCGCATTCCCGCTAACCCAATCCAATCTATAGAAACATCACCTACCACCACAGCGCCGTCACCCGCTCCGAGCGCAGCGCCCTCCGCAACCAGCGCGGCCTCACAATCTGGCTGACCGGGCTCTCCGCCTCAGGCAAATCCACCATCGCCGTGGAACTAGAGCACCAGCTGCTCCGCGACCGGGGCGTCTCCGCCTACCGGCTGGACGGCGACAACATCCGCTTCGGCCTGAACAAGGACCTGGGATTCAGCGAGAAGGACCGCAACGAGAACATCCGGCGCATTGCGGAGGTAGCGAAGCTCTTCGCCGACAGCGCCACCATCGCCATCACCTCGTTCATCTCGCCGTACAAGGCCGACCGCGACACCGCGCGCAAGCTGCACGAGGTGCCGACGCCTGGCGAGGAGACGGGCCTCCCCTTCGTCGAGGTGTATGTCGATGTGCCGGTTGAGGTGGCAGAGCAGCGGGATCCCAAGGGACTGTATAAGAAGGCGCGGGAGGGGGTCATCAAGGAGTTTACGGGGATTAGTGCCCCGTACGAGGCGCCGGATAAGCCCGAAGTGCACATCAAGAACTATGATTTGCCTGTGAGGGATGCGGTTGCGCAGATTATTGCGTACTTGGATGAGCAGGGGTATTTGCCTCCTAAGAAGGAGTAGATAGATGGGTTGTTTTTGTCATGATAGATCTTGCGCATAGAATCGTCCTTGCCAGTGCTTTGTACATATAAGGATCAGAGATGCGAAATGATACAGAACTGTATATGTACGCTATTCAATGGGGTGGTATATAGTACCAACGTAGACAAATAAGCACAAGGATGACAAGACCAGGAGCATAGAGCTTCATCCCGCCATCAATTGAATTCAAACTCGTAGTACACATACGCAGTGTACTCGGCGCCTCCGCCTTCGGCGCCCGCCTGCATCTCATGAGGGTCATCTCGCTTGACCCGACCCTTCTTGTCTCGCCCAAAGGCATTTCCGGCGAGATACGAGTATTTCTCATCGAGGTTCCGTTTAGCCCTGTCGGCGTGTTTCGAAGATTGCGTCTACACCCACAAGTCAGTCAAGGCGGACGTTCACCGTCGTGGATCCAACATACCCTGATGATCGTGCAGACGAAATCCAGCGGCAGACCATACCGTAGGACGGTCTCAACAAACACCCGCAGGACAAGCACATGGATCCAAACCATCACGGCCTCACTCCACGCTGTCCGTCCAAGCCGAAGAGTCTCACCCCAAAGCTTGCGCTCGTCCCCGCCCACGCGCTCGACCTCCTTTCGCTCTTCTTCCTTTCCACCTTCTACGTACTTGAACTCGCGCGGGATCCACTTGTGCTCACGACACCGGTGGACAAACTCTGGGCTGTGCTTCTTGAACGTCGTAACGGCGTAGAGGGTGAACTCGTCGTCCGAGGCCACGAGGGTCGCGGATCGGGGCACGACCATGGGCGCCACGGTCTCATATGTCTTGAGGAATTCCTTCACTTGCTGAGCGGGAACAGCGACGAGGTGCGTTTCGATGTATTCGGAATCGCGGACAAGGGTGCGGGGATCAACGACTGATGCCAGGGACTTGGTGGAGAGATTTCCTCTACAGATCAAATCCAAATTAGTAGAATGTTGCAGCCAAAGAAGGGTGCCCTCACGTTTGTTTGCGTTGAAGAGTCGCCAGCGTATTCTTCACCTGATTGTATTGCGAGTACTTGGACCGAACGTCATTGTCGATACTAGCAGCTTCCTATATGACCATTAGCTCTTGCTGGATCGTCATAAGATCCACGCCCAGTACCTTCTGCAGAAGATCGATCAACTCTCCCAGCGGCTTATCAGCGCGATACTTGACCTTGTTCCACGAGAATGTCCTCAGATACTGATCAACGGGCTCTACGTTCAGTTAGCGAGCAGGTTTCCCCTCACAACGGCTGAACATGGCGCAGTGTAGGCATACTGTCATTGACAGTCTTCATCTTATCGATCTGCCCTTCATCTCCCTCGAGGACGCTCTTCAACGCATCTCCGACCTTGGCGACGACACCTTGGCAAGAGGCTTCGAGCTTCGCCAGCTCATCGGCTTGCTGCACCAGAGCGTCGAGGGTACCAATCTTGAACTCCGGGATTGGGAAGGGTGCTACAGAGCCATTGTCGGGCGATACCGTGGCGGAAACAGCATCGAGAGCGTCATCTCGGTGGTGGGAGGGAGTGATGGATGTGGGGAGCGAGACGAGAAGGTACTTGTTCGACTTGGACATGGTGCCGGGAATACGATACAGGACGGACTAGTAGGATGTATAATTTAAGGACGATAATATGGGCCGTCACACCCAAGCAAAAGGGAGTGAGGTAGTCGGATAGAAAGCTCGGCGGACGTTGGAGGTCTGGTTGTATGGAGCTTGGAGCTGGCGGTCATCGGAAGGTCCGTCGGCGGAGGCGGTGGGCCATGTTTGGCGTCACCAATGTGATATTGCGGACTTGATAGCAACGATGATCATAAGCATTTTAAATTCAGTATGGATTTGAGTGTAATCGATTGTGCAAGTTGCCAACTCATATTATGCGAAATTTCTGTTCTTGATAATGCGGTATGTTCTCTACCCTAGAACCTATATGTCTTGACTTATGTACAGTATCGCAAAGTGCTCCCATCTAAGTATACGCCCAAAACAAACAATACATTATAAACTCTATATTGCCCGAAACCCGACCTCTACGTATTTCTATCCGCTTGTTCCTGAACATACTAGTTCGTAACTTTGTACAGAGTCGACATGGCCTGAAATCATCGTCAGCACATTATTTCTATATTCCCCGGATAGTGGACTTACCGCAGCCTGCTTGGGTTCAATAAACAGAGCCTTTGCTTCCACCAGTATGACTGGCTCTTTGCCATCCTCAGGAAGAGTTTCGATGTGCGCCTCAACCCAAGCCTTCCGACCCTCCACTTTGACCGTCTTCGCCTTCAAGACAGCATAGTTGTTGGCCATCGCCGGGCGCCGGTAGTCAATGTTCAGATTGGCAGTCACACCCACTTTGTTTGGCAACGCAGGGAAGCAGCACCGGGCCATGGACTCATCCAGCAGCGTGGCCAAAAGACCTCCGTGCACAATGCCAGGATGGCCGGACACATCTGAGCCAAGGTAGAAGATGGCGGTCAAACTCTTTCCGCCCTCCTCGCAGAAAACATAAGGCGGCACCACAATTCCGCCTGGGGTCGCAAGGATACCGGCCGTTAGATGACGCGCGCGCAATTCTTGAGGGATCTTCAAATGTGGTCGCGATTCGGTGTAAGCCGGGTTTTGGCGTAAAGCAAGTGTCATAGGGTGATTGCGAATGTAGTCCTCGACCTCCTTCGTGAACTCGTCGGAAGGTACAAAGCCAGTGAGGGTTTCCTCGTCGGTGGGCATGCTGACAGCCATCATGCGCGCTACGGTCTTCTGAGTCTGATAAGCGAGTCCGGTAGAAAATGCGACAATGGCAATGGCCGTGAATCCGACAATGCGACGTAAAAGTAGGTAAGGTTTAGACGTTTGAGACTGCGCTGAAGCGGCAGCAGATGAGTTAGTTTTATCCTGAGTCACAGCAACCTGAGGGATCGAAGCTTGTCACATGCGTACCTGTGGAATACTGTCTGTGTAAACGAGGGCCAAGGAAGCGTGGGCAAGTTGAAGGAAGCGGGAGCGTCCGATTGGGGATCTTCGGCAGGCGTTGGGACTTTGTAGGCAGACAAGAAACGATATACGGGCCGTGCTTAGTGGAGACTTCCCGAAAGAAAGCTCTAGACGGGACTGGCGGTCGCATGGCTAGAATGATTGGGAACGAGATGGGCCGGGGAATGGTGCCCTGAAGCTGGAGGGTCTTCTTTGATTATGGGTCTGGAAGACTGTCTTGCCCCAGGACACGGAGATATGGAAGAGACGCAGTACCTCGGATGTTGTCAGGATTAGCAATGGTTCCCAAAAGCGGGCATGAGGCTGATCGACGGGCCTCTTAACAGTTTTCAAAAGTAGATAAACCGAATTTGGAATACTTAAATCGAGTATTCTGGATCTCAACTTCACGTTCCAAGAGATCCTCTATCTACCTGGTCTTTCTCGCCGTTGGGGATACGGAGGAGGATGGATACTCCGTAGAGTGCAACAAAAAAAAAAGCGGAAATGGCAAAGTCCGATTGGCGGATGGCGGAGCGGATCAGTCAGAGAACCTCGGCTGATAAGGAAGGAGAGAGAGAATCATGGAGGATGATCATCAAGAGATGATCTGACGTTGATAGATATCATTATTGCTGGTGTAGAATTCACCAGTCACATAATTTGGCAGGATGAAGATCGATGTCACCGAATACCAACGATTAGCCTCATTATCTGTCCGAGATGAGACCTACTCTATGATCTCTCGGACTCTCCTCGGACCCCCTAGCGCTCTGATAACTCCAACAGTTATAACATCGTCAGATGTCCCTCATTCAATATCACTTATGAGGAACTTCTGCTGTTATGCAATGTGCTTTGCTCCTGCAACTGACTGTTACAGCACTAATGCATCCATCTGCACCTCTGTCACATCGGGGATTTATCACCTCTCACCTTCCACCATTCAAAGCCATCAATCAATAATTGATCCTCCAGTCACTTCAAACTTAAACCATCCTTCCCTAACCAGGATGTATCACCACCCTTGCTCAGGATCGTCAGGGGCATAGGAATGCAACAATGCAGAACATCCCATCAACTCCGCGCCCCTTGATAAGAATGCGGTGCGACGTGAGGATGCTGCTTTTTCGATTCCAAATTGGCTCTGTATCTGGCAGACAGTCAGTTTCTGTCCTTCTTTCGTAGGCTACGCCTATGTTGTAGATTATACTTTACTGTCATTCTTTATGTGATATATCCAACTTTCAGTCGCTCATTATGCCTCGTCTATCATCGTTCCTTCTTTCTAGCATCCCCGTGGTTTTGGCCGTGACCAATTCCACATCTCTAGACTACGATGTTCTGCAATACGTTGATCAACTCATAGGAAGTGCCAACGAAGGTGTGTTCTCGAGATAGAATTTTGACTAGTGCAGACGATCGTTCCCTGACAGTTTTTAATAGGCAATGTCTTTGCTGGTGCAACGCTTCCCTATGGCATGGCCAAAGCTGTAGCCGACACGGATTCCCCGGGCAACCAGGGAGGGTTCGCACTCGATGGCAGCAATATAACTGGGTTTTCAAGCTTGCATGATTCAGGCACTGGAGGAAACCCCTCTCTCGGAAACTTTCCATTGTTCCCTTATGTCAAATGCGAAAATGACGACGTCAATGGTTGCATTTATCCGAAGAAACAGCGCAAGACCGGCTATCATGCGGACTCTGTCAAAGCCTCTCCGGGATACTTTGGGCTGACCATAAACTCCGGCATCAAAGTCGATATGACAGTCTCCCATCATACGTCTCTGATTCGGTTCCAGTTTCCCACTAACAGTGCATCGAGTCCGCTCATCCTGCTAGATCTCACAGACCTGTCGGATTCAAGACAGGATAACGGAACAGTTTCCGTCGACGCTTCTACCGGACGCATGACGGGCCATGCGCGTTTTCTGCCCAGCTTCGGAAGTGGATCATACGTGCCTTACTTCTGTGTTGACTTTCAGAGCAGCTCTACCATTCGCGATAACGGTATATTTGTCAATTCACGCGCCAGCACGGACGTGAAGGATTTGAAGATTTCTCGGAGTATCAATGGATACCCTCTTCCTGTGAGTCCAGTGGAGGTCTGATTCATCGGAATCATTTTTGACAGAATGCAGGGAGGTGCCTTTGTCCGGTTTGATGCTGCTTCGGATATTACCGTGCAGGCCCGAGTGGGTTTGAGCTTCATCAGCAGTGAGCGGGCATGCTCGAATGCTGAATCTGAGATTCCGAATTTCGATTTTGAAGCCACACGCTCAAAGGCTACGGAGGCGTGGCGGGACAAGCTTGCCCCTATTCGCGTGTCCAGAAAAGGCGTCAATGCTTCTCTTCTTACCAACTTTTACAGTGGCATCTACCGTACAATGATCAATCCGCAGGATTATACTGGGGAAAACCCACTCTGGGACAGCAATGAGCCGTACTTTGACTCGTTTTACTGGTAGGTTCGGCCGATTTCCAACGTGACTCTCCTAACGGTTGCTAGTTTGTGGGATTCTTTCCGGTCTCAGCTGCCGTTTTTGACCATATTCGACCCTGCGTCGCTGACACGGATGGTCCGCTCGCTTATTGATACTCAGAAGCATCTGGGCTGGCTTCCGGATTGTCGCATGTCTCTCTGCAAAGGTATTATCACCATGCCCACGGTTACATTCGCGTCGACGGACTGACAAGCTGTAGGGTACACTCAAGGAGGATCCAATGCAGACGTCATTCTCGCCGATGCATACACCAAGGGCATTTCCGATGGCATCGACTGGGAAGCCGGTTATGCAGCCGTTCAGAAAGATGCTGAGGTAGAACCGTACGACTGGTCGAACGAAGGCCGAGGTGGGCTGAACAGCTGGAAATCACTGAACTACATCCCCGTCGAGGACTTTGATTACATCGGTTTTGGCACTATGACCCGCAGCATTTCCCGCACTCTTGAGTATTCCTATAATGATTTCACCATCTCGCAAATGGCGCGTGGCATGAACAAAACAGACGATGCAGAAAAGTATGAGAGGAGTTCGGGTTACTGGAGAAATCTGTTCCGTGCGGATCAGACTTCGTTCATCAAAGGTAACGATACTGGATTCAAGGGTTTCTTCCAGCCCCGATATCTGAACGGCACTTGGGGGTTCCAGGTTGGTCTATCTTTATTGGTCCTCGCGGAATTCGCCGATTGATATGGATGCAGGATCCTCTGACATGCTCAAACATCGACACCAGCGGCAGAGCATGCTCGCTCCAGAACAACGGAGCAGAGACGTTTGAGTCCAGCATCTGGGAATACCAGTTGTAAGAATCCGCCATCATTTCGGCTCTTCAGGCTCACAACTGACAAGACTGCAGCTTCGTTCCTCACGATATGGCCGCTCTCATTGCCCTTCTCGGAGGGCCGGCCCAATACGTCCGACGACTCGACTATCTCCACGATCAAGGAATCACCTACATCGGCAACGAGCCAGCTTTCCTAACCGTCTTCCAATACCATTATGCCGGCCGGCCCGCCAAATCAGCCTCTCGGGTGCATTTCTACATTCCCAAATACTTCAACCCAACACCCGCAGGCCTCCCAGGCAACGACGACTCGGGCGCCATGGGCTCCTTCGTCGCCATGTCAATGATGGGCCTGTTCCCTAACCCCGGACAAAGCGTGTACCTTATCAGCCCGCCGTTCTTTGAGGTCGTTCGCATAAAGTCGCCGTTGACGGGCCGCACGGCAACCGTCCGCGCGGAGAACTTCGACCCTACGTACCAGAACATCTACATCCAGTCTGCCACGCTGAACGGCAAGCCGTACACAAAGAACTGGGTTGACCATGACTTTTTCACCGAGGGAAAGGAGCTGGTGCTTGTTCTGGGTAGAAACGAAAGTCGCTGGGGAACAGCCGAGGAGGATTTGCCGCCTTCCTTGTCGACTAGGGGCGGGGCCTCTTCTACGGGGCTCAGGCAGAGAATGGTTGATTTCGACTCCGCTCCTCTCCAATTCAGCGAGTATGGCCACGCGCGGCGAAGAGGACACTCTTTTCCGTTTGCTTACCGGCACCATATTGGCAAAGAATTCACCCTTGCGTAGTAGTCTGCAAGTTGAAAACACATTGTGAATTTTGCTTCCAGATGTCTGCAGTCGCTAGTGTTTAGCCCTTGTTGAATCATGGACGGACGCTATTTTATACCGTCATGTTGAAAATGGACCCGAATCAAAAATCTAACTGCAATCGTAACTATTTACATAAGAGCTTCATGAAAGAAAAGAGAACAAATCACTCAAGCCTTGGGCCGATAGAACTTGCTCTCCACCCAAGGCATACCCGTAACCGTAGCCTTGCGGACCTTATTCCGCACCATCACACCGACCTCGGTCCCCTTCTTGTGCATGCCGTTCTTGATATAGCCCATGGCGATATTAGTACCTCCCAGGGTCGGACTCGGCAGCCCCGAGGTAATAACGCCAATTTGCGGGTGCGAGTCATCACTCAGGTCGACGACGATGGCGCCCTCGCGCGCGGGACTGCCCTTCTCAACTGTGAAGCCGACGCGGCGCTGCGAGAGGGTCTTCGCAGGGGATGCGAGCTGCGGAAGGATGGCGGCGGCGCCGTTGAAGGTCGCCGTTGCGGAGTCGCGACGGTCCTTGCCGACGATCCAGCCCAGGGACGCGGCGGGGGGCGTCTGCGTGGTGGAGATGTCGTTGCCGTAGAGGCACATGCCTGCTTCGAGGCGGAGGGAGTCGCGGGCTGCGAGGCCAGCCAGCCGGACTTGCTCCGGGTTGGCGAGGAGGAGCTCGGTGACTTGCGTTGGGAGGGAGGGGCAGCCGGCTGTGGGGATGGAGATCTCGAAGCCGTCCTCGCCGGTGTAGCCGGTCCGGGAGATGAGGRGGGGCTGCGGGGTTGGGGTGCCGTCGGGCAGGGTGAGGTGTAGGGCGCGGCAGTTGCCGAAGTAGAGGGTGCTGAGATCGGTCTCGGCGGGGGACGCCGTGCCATGGGAGCTGATCAGGGGCTGCAGGACGGAGGCGGCGAGCGGGCCCTGCAGGGCGACGAGGGCCCGGTCCTCGAGGATCTCMCATTTGATGCTGTCGGCACCGTGGGTCTGCCTGTACGCCTCGATCTCGGCCTGCAGGAAGGCCAGGTCCTCTGTGCGGCGGCCGGCGTTGGTGACGAAATAGAAGGCGTCGCCGTCGAGGCGGGTAATGACGGTGTCGTCGACAATGCCGCCGGTGCCTTCTTCAAGCAGGCAGGAGAGTGTGGAGGAGTTGGGCTTGAGCTTGTCCAGAGACGAGGGAGTGACTTTCATTAGCAGCTCTATGGCTCCGGGACCGCTAAGATGGTGTTGAACCCTAGCAAAGGTTAGAACCAGCTTGTCTTTGGAGTGTTAATCATCTCTGGTATGGAGAACACTTACATATGGCTCACGTCGAACAAACTAGCCTTTTCTCTGGTCCAGTGGTGGCTCTCGACATGACTGAGATCTGAATACTGCAGGGGCATAGAGTACCCCGCAAAGGGCACCATCTTCGCTCCCCGGGCAATGTGCAAATCATACAATTGAGTCTTCTTGACAGGTCCAGAGGCAGTAGACGATGCATAACGCCGTGTGCCTGCATTTTGGGAGTTGACCAAAGGCCCAGCAGTAATTCGGGGAGCTATGCCAGCGGCCGAAGAGCCGGCGTAGAGCGGAGATGGGAGCTGCCGCCGGAGGATGTTGGAGCCATTGGCCGCAACGCGGGCGGACTGAGAGACGTATCTTGCGCCCAGGAGGTTCGCACCTCGTCGTAAAGGTCGTAGAGCTGACATGATGGGTGACTGACGTGTAGAAGAAAAGATATCTACAGAATCAAAAAGTTGAGCAGATATAGAACGGTGGTGAAATTGCGGAGAAGAGCTGCGATAACGGAAAAGTCACGTGGCGATAGGACAATTCCGCGGACAATCGCTGCGATTCGGAATGATTTGGAGTTGTTGGAGATGAGATGTCTTGATTATTATGAAGGGAGAGAACCATATCTGCGACGCTACAATATACGCATGTCTAACAATCTACGTATCTTGGCGGTAAAATGGGAAGTCTGACAAAACGGCCATCCTAGGCTCCATCGGAGCGAAATGGTACGGGAGCGAAATGGTGCCCATATTTGGCCGCGGGATTTATGGCTGCTGGATCCGTGGATCGAGATAAACTAAGCAGTTAACCAGATTCAAACGAGTATCGAACCAGGAACCCGCCGCGCAACGTTCAACAAGTGAAACATCATGAACAGCAACAAACAGTTAAATAGCTGATCCTTTGAGTCGTGTGGGCCCGAAGATCCAGCTTCGCGGTCTTCGTCTTTCTCGTTGCACAATCAAGGGAAGCCGAAAAAATAAACAAGAAAATAAGAAGAAAAGAAATCACAATCCATTATCGGCGCACGAGAATGGGCTTCCAACGGAACCTGTCCGATAGCTTATAATGACGCTCATAACAGCAGCCTGCATAGGGTCATATTAGCGACACGCTCATGAAAATGATCGAGAGGAAGGCTTACATAGGTTCCGGGTCCCAAGAAGAACAGTCCCGTCAAGATCAGCCCGATGTTGACGATAAATCCAACCCAGCCGCGGATACCGCGCTTCTTGTAGAAGCCCGGTCCGTGGTCTGCATATCTCATCCGGAGATAGGCAACCCCCCAGAAGATGAACCCAAAGAACGAATCGAATAGGGAGCTCATGATGGAGAGCAGATCGGAAAAGAAGGGAATGACCTCGGCGATAATGAAGGCCATGATCCAAAGGACGGCAAGGATACCGGTCCAGGCGGCCCATCCGACGACCGTGTGATTGCCCTTGTGGCGTGTACCGTCGAAGAGACGGAAGAAGATGAAACGCGCCGACACGGAGGCATATAGAACTCCGAGGAAGATCAAGGTAGGGACCATGAATGAGAAAGATATCTTCTTATAGACCTCGTTGCCGAGGGAGCCGAATGCGGGCGCGGTCATATACTGATTTCCCGTGTAGTCATATACAATGGCGCCTACCAGGCTGAAGACGATGATCTCGGCAATCGTCACGGCCGTAACCGATTTCCAAAAATCCTTGGGTTCCTTCATCTCAGCGATGAAACTGGGAAGTGTGATCTGGCCGATGAATGTGTAACTGATGTTCAAAAATGCATTGACACCGGAGACGAACGTGGTGCCTACCACCGGAATCGCGGTCACAGTTGGTTTACCCTGTGCGTCGGTGTAGCCAGCCGGATGATCCTCAATGGCCGAGAAGATGACCGCCAACATGACGGATATGAAGGTGAAGATAGCCGACAAAGTGGCGGCCTTGGACAATCCGCTAAACGTCCGTGGCAGAGAGAACACCAGCGAAATTATGGCAGTCACCAATGACCAGATGATAGTGCACGCTCCATGGTTGGTCATTGTGTTGAGATATTTGGCCCCAACCAAGCAATGCAAGCCCTAAGAGCATTTAGAACCTGCATAGGGCAGGGGATGTGGCAATAAGGAGATGAATACCTGAATGAAGGTGTTGTTCAACAAGAACATGACCGCAGTCATATACCAAGCAATCTTGGAATCCCAGAAGAGGTACTGGCCGATGTCGCAGACATCACGGACTTCGGGATGGCGCAAGCAAAATCTCCTAATGGGCATCAGTACCAAAACCACGCGAATATATGACAGTCCAGCATACCAAGTAATCAGTGACGTATACAGCACAATCGCTGCTACGACCACGGTCAAAATTAGACCTGGAACGAGGCCCAGGACGGAATACGACCACGGAAACGACATGATGGCCAGACAGATATACTCGGAAAAGAGCAAGGCGGCAGTCTATACACCAACAAGAGGTTAACACTCTGCGCCGTCCAAATGGCTCACCCGGTCGCGATTACCTTTTGCCAGCTACATGTGCGGTATTTGATGGAATTCTCCGCCTCAAGCTCAATCTGCCGACCGACATCGCCGTTCTCTGAATCAGACTGCACCGCATGGCCCTGACCCTCAATATCCAATTGTTTCAATTTACCGGGTGAATCTCGGGGCTGATCGGACACGCTGGACGAGCAGTCGTCATTCGGGGGCTTTTCTGAAGAGCTGAACCACGCCATTTCAATGTGCGGACGAACCGCAAATGGAAGCAGTCGGTAGTATGAGCGAGAGAAGTGATGTTGTAGACCTTTGAATGCATGTACTGCGCCTCTCTAATTTGGGCGGGTCTATACAGGTGTAGATGTTAGTATCGACCAAAAACGAATGAAAGCMCTGGTAAACCTAGCAGATATTCAGAGATACCACAACATACAAGAAATTCGAAGAATTGATCCTAGGATATTCAGGCGAAAGACGAGATAAGAATTGGACACTGAATAGCAGACAAAAACGTTCACTTGGCGTACTGTTAACAGCGGATACGATTACCCTGCGATAAGACGAGGGGAAGACAAAGACAAGATGTAAGATGAATCGGCCAAGAGAAAAGGCAAAATCTTGAGTCAACAGGTTAATTCAAAGAAGATGAAGAGCAGAGAGAAAAAGAAAAATCATATAGAAGGATGATCCATGATCAGGTAAGATTGCGATCACAATTAATGCTATTGACTAAAATAATAATGCCATGGATTATCCCAGCTCTTATGAACCGGCTAATAGATTAGGTCCTAACGTTAACTACTGCGTAATTAAGTTACAGTATGGAGGCAGATAGACGCAATCCGGACGGCGAGACCGACAAGAGCAGACCCATAGGCCAGGTCGATGGCCACAATTTAGGCTCTATGACGTGCTCAGCCAGGATTTACTGGAACCATTAACTTGCAGCAGTCAAGAGACCCATCGATAATACTCTGTAGGTCAGGGCGGTGACAATTGAGAGGGACAGTGAGAAAAGATAGCCGCAATAGGCGTAGTCCTTGACGTATGAGCTCTCATGTCGAGGAGAGGTAATCATCAGGTCCAACCTAATTGGGAAACGGACGGCAGGGAATAGATGTGGCGGAAAAGGTTCCTTGTATAGGGCGAACCTTACGAGGTGCTGACCGGCTGTACCTCTTGTGTCCCAAGACTCCCAAATCCCATCAGTTTCATTCCCTTTCATAATTACTCCATACTTCCAGCTAACACTAAGACATTTATACTGTAAATCATACTGTAAATTCTTACAAAATAGCAGAGATTTCAACCCAACAGGCCACAGCAACAGGGAAAGAAAGCCGCGACTGCAAACAACCATGCATCACCAGGGAATGCCGCCATTGGTCCATGCTCAGTGCAACCCTGCTCGTACATCACCAATCAGCGCTAGTCCTGGGCGTGGCGTGTGGGGCCGCCAGATCGTGTCCCGCCCCGCACGCTGCATCTGGCAGTACCAGAGGGGGAAATTTCCACTCTCCACTCCTCTCTCAATTTTTGCCATATGGGAAGTGAAGGACACAATGAAATCTCTGATGGCGGATAAGCGCTAAGTTCTAGGAGACCATGGCACGGAATTACTAGGCTGTGCAGAGGTCACAGATTCCTGATTTCTCAAGCTGACACCTATTATTTCCATGCTAGGTGCTGGACATAATGTATGTTATGTCAGGGTGCACGTGACTCTAGTTCTGTCTAGAAACACTCCAAGAGCCGCAAGTAATGAAGATCATGGCCTAAAACCCTTGAAAGCCACGTGGTATAAGATAGACTTTTGTGGTATCTATATGCACTTGTACATACATCTCCGTAAACCCGTACATGAACATCACATCCCCTCGTCCTCTCCGGCCAGCAAGGCTGCATAGTCGTCCGCCGATGCAAATGTTGGCAGGTGCTTGAGCTTGCGTCTCTTCTTCCGACCAGATGCCTCGTCCTCTTTGGGAAGCTCCACGCCTCCAAGCTCGATATCGGATGGGAGCTCCTCGTCGCTGCCGACGAATGCCTCCTCGTCCGATGCATCCATGTCGAAATCGTCTTCCTCGTCCAGGGCTTCCTCTTCCTCCATCTTCTTGCCCTTGGCCTTGCTCTTGGTAGGCGGCTCCTCAGCTTCAGACCCTGCGCCGGCATCGAGATCTTCCATCTCTTCGTCGGACTCGTCGTTGAAGATGACTCCACCATCGCTCTCAGCAGCCTCCTCGTCCTCGTCCTGATCATACGCGGATTCGAGATCATCCAGATCGAGATCGTCGTCGCTATCGCCAGCATCCTCCACGTCAGGCCGTGACTTGACAAGAGCTTCCCAGATCTCCGATTCAGCATCGCTAAGTCCTTCTGCGTCCTCTTCACCGCGCGCCCCGGCGTCCTTGGCCTTCTTCTTCTGGGCCTTGTCCTTGCTCTTCCCAACTCGGCTGAAGTATTCATGGAAGAAAACATCTTCCGCTGCCACATCCTCGGCCGCCTTCTTCCAGAACGCCTCAGTGTTGGCTGGCAGATCCTGGCTACCTTTGGCGGTAACCACCAGCCGGTCCTTCGCGTCGCTACCAGCGAGTGGTTGCATGATTGAGCCACCACGGGTGGTTGCGGACGCCTTGGGAGTTCGGTAGATGAAGCGGTCAAGGAAGTGTGTCAACGTGTGAATTGTCATGTCCGGCTTTCCGCTCATTGGGCGGTGGTCCAGAAGGTGGGCGGCGTTTACTGACACAGATGGATGGAAATGAGACAAATACGGTAGCTATAATTCCTGTCAGCTTTGTTTCATCGGATGCTGAGGGCCCAGCAGGGTGAGGTCCATCTTACCAATTCCCACAGACAAGACTTGTCAGCATTGCTATGTTCCGGATCCCGCTTGCGGGGATCGTATCGGTTTGAAGGCTTCTGTTGCTTGTTTTCGGGAACTGCAGGTTGAGCTTGCTCCTCATCATCCTCATCAGGCACGTCTCTGAACACCTCTTCATCATCGCTTTCATTATCCTCTGGTTGATCAAACAAAGCCTGAATACCGGTGAAAGTGTTCTCTAGCTCGCGGATAAGATAAAAGACGCCGCAAATGAAAGCCGGCTGATGCAGACCAAGGACTTGAACGATCCGCTTGACAAAGGCCTTGACCCGTCGGAGGTTCAAATCGTTCTTCAAAGCCTTGAACAACAGGTTGAGGTATAGGGACTGCTTCGAGGAAGTGGCAACTCGTGGGTCGAGAAGCGACTCATAAAGGGTTCGGTAGAAGCGATCAGCTCCCACTTGATGAGATGATGTGAGTTGTTGAATGAGCATCAAAGCTTGGATGCTAGTGTTGAAGTTGGAAGAGTGCGTGATACGGAAAAGGGTATCGATGTGTTTGGAAAGTCTGCGGACAGATTAGCTCAGTATCGAGTTACAGTAGACGATAGACATACCTGTCAGTATCCGAGCTCGTGAAAGGGTAAGCTCGGTTAACACCAGTCAAGACTGCAGAAACAAGCTTATCACGCATTTCTTCTTCCTGTGCTTGACTCTTTGCTGGATCATCTTTTCCTTTGCCCTTCTTACCCTTACCGAATTTGCCCTGATTCTTGCCTTTGCCATCCTTGACAGGCTTCAGCAGAGTAACAAAGAGCGCAAAGTATATATCCAAGAGCTGTACGCCAACACTCTCCTCCTTCAAACTAAGAACGGTCTGGTTCAAGGTAATGATAGCGTAGTACTTTGCGTGCTGGCTCTGGCCTGGCCGGAAGAGGACCTCCTCAACCGCCTTGATGATGGTAGGTTTCATCAAAGGATGAGCTTGCTCAAGTTGCAAAAGCAGATAAGAAGCTCTCGAGGCGATTTTCTTGGCCTTGTCGCCGAGTTTGTTGACCAACAACCGCAACAGGTTTGCTTCCTGCTCCGGCCTTTCCTTCAGCAGCTCATAGACATAACTCACAGCTCTGGAGCGCGAAAACTCAATCTCGTCATTGCACCACACCTCCAAGATCTTGAGAACCTCAAAGTATTGATCCTTCAGGAAGTGTTCATATGCCCACATGATGAGATGGCTGTTTTGTAAACCTCCAGGAAGAGGGTCGCCTTCCGACCATCTGCTTCCAGCTCCTTGGAATGCCGCCATGAGGGCCGGCTGGTTTCCAAACGTCTTCAATCTCCGATCACTGGGAAGCAAGGTACCCTGAGCAAACATATCCTTCAGCGATCTCAGAACTTCCACCGCCTGAGCTCGACTGCGCTTCTTGCCCAGACCAATCAAATTCTCAAGTTGCTTGGTGTTGTGCACTGGCGACTCTTGCACAGCGAGCGTCAAAGCTGAAATTTTGTCGCTGAGGGTACCGGTTGACATGATGGTGGTGTAGAATTTGTGAGAGGAAGAGGAAGATGCTTGCTGCGCCTCCGTGTACATCTTAGTCTCCTTCTCAAGGAGTGAAATGGCATAATTGTGAACGCGTTCCACCAATTGACGGGACAACGCCTTCGCTTGTTTCGTGGTTGATGCAATTGGAGGGAGAGCCGTCGCATACCAATCAGACCTGGGAGGGATGGTCTATGCACATGCTTAGTACTTTTTTGAGAGATAGGATTCGGATATACTCACCAGTTTCGAGAACTCTTTGGGGAAGATATTCTCGGGCGCTGGCTCTTTGGCCTTCTCCTTCTTGGGAGGCTCGGGTTTTCTGGCAACTGGTGCCGAAGAGGCTTCTTCCTCCTCTTCTTCTGACTTATCCCCATCCTCGCTCTCCTGAACATCGTCTTCCTCCTCTTGTTCCTCCTCGTCCACTCCCTCCGAGTCAGATGCGCCAGCCACGTCGTTCTCATCTTCGATGTCATCGGGCACAACTTGACCAGCAGCAGCTAGCATAGCGGATAATTCCTTTCTGAGCGAATCCTCGTCAGATTTGTTCTTCGACTTCTTCTGTGTCTCTGCGACTTCAACTTCAGACTCGGATTCCACGCCCGCCAGCAGATCAAAGTCTTCTTCGGTACCACCAAGCGCCAGAATTTCCTGGCGCAAAGTGTCATCCTGATTTCCGCCGGCCTTCTTCTCTTCCCTGGCGATCACTTCTCCGTTGCGGTCACGTTTCTTTCCTTTGTTGTTCTTGTCGCTCTTGATTTCACGCTTCGGTTCAGACTTCGGTGCAGCATCCTTTTCCTTCTTCGGCATGTTTTTGTCCACGTTCTGAGTCTTTTTGTTCTTCGACTTGTTTTGTTTGGCAGCCTGCTCGTCCTTCAACTT